TTTAGAAAAAGTGGGTCGTGGAAATGACGTTTGGGAACAAGAAAGGCCAAGTTCCGGTAACTGTTAAAAGAGAGGTTGAACTAATTAGGTGCCATCAAGGTGAAGTCAAACCTACTGAAAGAGTTGATGAAGTGGAACCAAATATAGATATCAAAGCAGAACAGGAAAAAGACCAAAATTTGAAGCCAATAATTGATTTTTTAAAAGCAAGTGTTTTGCGCCCTGCTTGGGAGAAGGTGTCTAGTCTAAGCCCTGTGACAAAGCACTATTGGGTGCAATAGGACCAGTTAAAGCTTGCAGATGGTATTCTTGTACGGAGATGGGAAAGTGACGACTTGGCAAACAGTTATACCGAGGAAGTTGTGTTGCGTCAATCCCATGATAATTTAACAGGAGGACATCTCGGTATTAAGAAAACATTGAGTCACCTACGACAAAGATTTTACTGAATAGGTATGAGGCGAGATGTGGAAGAATGGTGCAGAACATGAAGTACATGTAGTGCTAAAAGGAGACCCAAGCATGAGGGATGCCCACCTTATGAAGAGTTGCCTGAGAATGTGTCAGAGTTTGTAAAAGTGTTATCGGAAAGGATGGATGATATTTACCATCAAATGCGTTCAAACTTGAAAACGTCTGCTGATTCGATGAAGTTAACTTATGATAAGAGATCTACTCAAGTCAGCTTTGAACCAGGACACAAGGTGTGGTTGTATAATCCCAGGAAGACCAAAGGGAAGTCTCCTAAGTTGTCAACACTGTATCCTCCTTAGTATTGTTCGTGTCCCGACCAATAGCCACTTACATTAAACCAATAACAATTAACAATAGCTTAATTAAAATGTACAGAATTACAAACACAAAATTACAATTCAACAAAGTCTCTTAATTTCACGGGACGTATCTTCTTCCGTACTGGTCTTCGTCTCGTTGGCTTCTGCTTCATGTGGGGTTCATCTACTTCATCAGTAAATGCCCTATCATCGGTAACAGTCACATCAGTGGTAGTAACTTCATCAAGAGCTTCACCGTTTCCCTTCTCAAAACTGAGTAGAGTTTCTTCTTCGACGTTGGCTTTTTCAGGTGACACGTCTTCAGCAGCATCATTTGTTCTTTGTTCACTTCGTCCCAACTGAAATGTCCTGGACCATGATAACGCCAAAGCCTGTTGGTATGCACCACTTTTGGCTTACCTCGCCAACCACATTTTATCTGGAAAGTCGCGTCTGAGAGACGATCCACTATGTCATATGGGCCTTCCCATGGAGAAGCGTGATACTAGTCACGTGACCTCGCTGACGCTCCCGACAATTCACGAAGGTTCGAGAAAGAAGTGGATTACTAGATTGGGGGTAGTCTGGTATATATATATATAAGATGGTCACAACGTGACGGGACAAAGTGTGTAGGTAATGAGTAATGGAACTGCAGTCAGAGAGTGTGTAATTAAGTCTTGTCGAGCATGTGAGACGTTCTAGCGTTTGTTATAGAGCGACTGTTGAAATTAAGTGTATCGGTAAAGTTGTATTCGGAAAGAATAAACCAGTTTTATTTAAGAAAGGACTTGTATCGCTAAAGTTTCGTCGGAACGAATTTACGGAAAATTAACTAACGACTGGAGGTGCAACATAGTCTTAGTTACGAGTTGACCAGTTTTCCTGCCAGATGACAACGTGAGACTGAAGAGGACGCATGAATATGTCGAAACTGGTTTTTCTAATATCTGACAGCTTGTTCCATTTACCGGGAATTTTACACTAAACTGCTGTACATGATACTGTGTTCTTTTATTAGTAGAGCTTTATAAACTTTGTGTACTGGTTTAAAACAGGCACCCTGAATTTACTGAAGAAAATATATCAAGAAACACACGTGTTATACAGTTTGTATTAGTGCCTATTAATTTGTTAAAAACATGTACGTTTTTATCATGCATGTGTACAATAGTAGCACTATCGATAAATTAAGAATGCTATATTTAGTTGGAAAGCTGATATTTTCAAAGCTCTTTTCGGAATGAAAGAGTTTTAAGGATTATGACGTCACAAGAAATAAGAAATGCTTGACAGAGTTTCAGAATCTGTCTCAAGTGAGCCGAGACCTTGGCCTCTAACTCTTTAAATTTCAAGGTTGTTTTGTCTTTATAACAAGTACAACATACAGAAAATGATGGCTGCATTTGAGTGTATAGGCGCCGAAGACAGGGGACCAGTTGTCCATTTCTCACCCACATTTAAAAAAAAAAGAGGAACCTGCTCTACACTCTTAACAGGAAGAAGGAGATTTTTTAAACGAAACTTTTTAACATGCTTGAAAATTGTTGTAAATCCATGTATTTCCGTCTATGTAATGCCCGGCATGGCCACCAGGTGGAGGTGTTCGACTCGCAATCTGCGGGTCTCGGGTTCGAATCCTCGTCACACCAAACATACTCGCTCTTTCAGTCGTGGGGACATTATAATTTTACGGTCAATCCCACTATTCATTGGTAAAAGAGTAGCCCAAGAGTTGGCGGTGGGTGGTGATGACTAGCTGCCTTCCCTTCTTGTCTTACACTGCTAAATTAGGGGCGGCTACTCGTGTAGCTTGGCGCGAAATTCAAAACAAACAAACAAACCCTCTATGTATTATCTATTGACAAGTGTTTGCACAATCTAAAAAATAAAAAATTCTAACAGGAGGCAAAAAATGACAATTAGGGCTAAAGCTTCGATCATTTTTTTTTGTAATCATTTCATTCAAAACAATTATTAATAAAACTTATATCAAAAGAAAATTTAAAATCTCAAAATTTTTTTTTTGGGGGGGGAGAAATTTTGTGAGGATACATCACAATTTTTCAAAAGTTGATGTCATGATGTTGCACATTTTTTGTGACTAGGATAGTATACGGTCATGTGATGGACACCTGATTATTAACTAATTAATAGTTATAGTTCAGATGTTTACTGGTTCATAATTGTTCATTTGGTACCCCCCCCCCCCCCCCCCCCACCCTTTTATAGTTTTTCCGACGCCGCTGCTTAAGACTGATGATGATATTTCAAAAACTAGCTATTTTTTTTTACTGTGATTATGATGACTATCATCTTTGGATCGTAAAACGATTCATCTTTTCTAAGATGGTGTGAAACAATTCTACTCATATAGTTGTTAATTATTATAATCCAAACTAAGTTACAAGCGCTCAAGGTTAAAAAAAAAGAAAGAAATGTTGCCCTGTGAGGATTGCAGGATTTCCTGCCGTTGATAGATGCATCCTCGTTCTTAATTCCTTCAACAGGCACGTCATGCTTGTTTTCGGTGGTACGCGGATGTCTATGTTTCTCCTGTCGTGATAAGTCCTCTTACTAAGTGTTTGAGTGTATATTTATATGCTGTTGGGATTTATTTCCCCGAAAGGGTGCCGAAGACCGCCTGGAGGGGTACCTGTTTTAACCACTCGCACCACTATACAGTAGTGTGTTGTCTGTCAGTCAGTCTGTAGACACTATAATGACGTCACATAAGGAACGCTTAACGTTGCAATTTGTCCTATTGTGACGTCAGTAAAACGTGCGCATGCCATGAATCACGAGAAAAATTATGCACTCTGAAGCTTACAATAAAGTATGACACATGAACTTCAAAAGCAAGACATAAGAATATTTGTTACTCAGTAATTTTGGTTTTATTTATTCTTGAAAGAGAACACTTTCGGGGACCCTGTGCAAGTACACGCAAGTTTAAATAGGTGCGTGTGTATTTATGCTGTTATGAACTGTATGTGTTTGTATTAGTACCACTCGTCTGTATACACCATGTTTGAAAGAAAAAAAAAAGAAGCGAAATGCACACGTTATTCACGAAACTTTTATAGCGAAATATATTTAAAATAGAAATCTTTACAATAACCCGACTGAACGTTAGTATAATTTCGTGGATGGATCTGTGCATTTACTAAACCCGATCGTAACGAATAACTCCTTTGCTGTCGCTCAAACTGATGAGGAACGTTTGAAGAATTTTTCGGCGCGACTTATTGTAAGTGGCGAAAGTCACTACTGACTCATAAATAAATAAATGTCAACAACCTATATGAGCATGCGCAGATGACTTTGCTATCAGGTTTTGTGTGCTTGAGATCTCGATCATAGTTGGCAGTTTCGTTGGATTCGGGTGGAGGATGAAAGATGTCCACGTGGGTCTAATTAGTTTGCGTGCTAACGATTTATAATTACGTGTAACTTGGCTTTCAACAAGAATTTGAAAAACACACTTTGTTATACATACACTGTTACAGTTGAAATGGCCAGATAAAGAAAAAAAAGTAATTAGGTGTTAAAGAAAGATATCAGCCTGTGATTGTAAAAGCTCCGGTAAGAGGGTCGAGAGCTCGCGAATATAAGTATTTTAACGTAGAGAGCAGTCCGTGTATCATGTGGCACGTTAAGTTACCTGCGATTTAATTTTAACTTACACTTTGATGCCATGTATTGAATATTGCTGTTTTATTAATTATTTATTTTGTGCTTGGCTTCTGTTTGTGGCGAAAGGTCAAAGATCAATGTCATATGCTCCATAGTTATGCTTTTTTAATACATAAAACCACAGGTAATCGTTGAGTATCAGGAAATTGACTGTAAGGTAAAGGTCACACAAAAAGCAAGTATATTTTTTGTGTGTGTGTGGATTAATTTACTCTAAACAAAACTCAAAAGATGTCAAAGGTAAAGTTTTCAAGGGTCACAGGTCACACAGTGCTCAAACATGGTTTCTACTTAAATGTTGCCAGTTTGAGACTATATGTGATCTGTAGGCCATAGTTATGTATAATGGTCAAATCGCCCCTCAAGCACACACACACACATTATATGTTAGTTAGAACAATTTTTTGTGGGTTCACTGGTGGGATTCAATTCTCCCACAGACAGTGAACAGAACATTTAGAGTTCATTGTGTACTAGCTTTGCACTAAACAAACAAACAAATTGTGCCAAATTGTTCACATTTTGGTTACATATTCTAGTTGGTCATAAAAAGACTTCAAAAAAAAAAGATTCAAATTTTGAAAGCAACTATTTTGTTAAAAAACAAGACCATTCTTTACAAGTTTACTTACAATGCTAGAATCCGGGTATCGATACCCGTGGTGGGCAGAGCACAGATAGCCCATTGTGTAGCTTTGTGCTTAACTTCAAACAAACAAACAAATCTTTCTACTGTAAACCTTAAGAGCTCATTCAAGTTTGTGTCAGGTATGGAATGAACTTTTTAAAAAAGGTATATGTACAGTGTCTGGTGGTATTTCATCTCAAGAAATTGATGTGTAATAACATTTAAGTATTTTCTGGGGCTACTGGTTAAAAATTGATGTATTATAACATTTAAGTATTTTCTGGGGCTACTGGTTAAAAATTGATGTATTATAACATTTAAGTATTTTCTGGGGCTACTGGTTAAAAATTGATGTATTGTAACATTTAAGTATTTTCTGGAGCTACGGGTTAAAAATTGATGTATAATAACATTTAAGTATTTTCTGGGGCTACTGGTTAAAAATTGATGTATAATAACATTTAAGTATTTTCTGGGGCTACTGGTTAAAAATTGATGTATAATGGCATTTAAGTATTTTCTGGGGCTACTGGTTAAAAACTCATTTTCCAATCAGATTACAATTTAGTCTTATATCAAATGAGGGGTTTTTGACTTAAAAATAATAAAATGAATAATATAATTGATACTTGAAACCATCGGTACTTGGTGAAATTACAGAATTGAGGAAAAACCAGACAAATGATGTATTTGTGAAATGTACAATTGTCTTGTTTTTCCTCAATTCTCTAAAATGAATAATGTTTACAAAGTTATGCTAGTAATAACGTTAGTGGTTTGTATAAGTTATAGAAATATTGAAAATATTTTAAAAACTTAATTTAAATCAAATGAATAAAAACACGCGTACATAAAAAGCATAAATGCTGGTTTCGTATCTTCAATTACACTTTTCAGTTTTCAAACAAGGCAGTGTCTGATAAGGCCTACCTAACAATGAAAAAAAAACTTCCCATATTGTTTTCACCTTAAAGCTTTATATATGTTTTAAGCTTCTTACTGTGTGTTAAACTATGTAACATACAATGTGGCTTTAAATTTATTAATTAAATAATTTTCACATCTCATTTCTTTTTCACAAGAATTCCAAAATGGAAATATTTGAAAAATAGTCCTGGTAAAATGTGGTGTTTTTCATAATACACTGATTTATGTGTTTGTGGACAATTGTTTACCTTTTTCACATGAGATTTATTTCAATTTATTCTTACATAAGGATTAATAGTTAATAATTCTGTGTAAACGTACATTCTAAGTTAATACAAAATTAACATTCATACATAACTTATATTTTCTGTACAGTGTTTTATTTCCAGATGACCTGTCACTAAATACAACATTTATACTGTGTACCAATGTAGTTTTTTTTATTCTGTGATAAGCAGGAAGCTTTCTTCAGGTTAGAGGGTTTACAGGTGTCTGAATTAAATTAGTTTTTATCTTATGCATCAGAAGGATATTCTCTCTATTGGCTCAGTGGTAAGTTTGTGGGCGTATAATGCTAAAAATTGGGTTTTGATACCCTTGATGGATTCACAACACAGATAGGCCATTGTGTAGCTTTGTGGTTAACAAGAAGCAAACAAACAAACAGAAGGATATAGAAAATAAGAAAAATTTAATCTATTTTCTTGTGAGAGATTACTATACTTGTGTACATATCTGAACACATTAAAACGAAGTGTAATTGAGGTTTTATTTTTACTGTACTCATGTATATATCTGAACACATTAAAACAAAGTGTTATTGTGGTTTTATTTTTACTATACTTGTGTACATATCTGAACACATTAAAACAAAGTGTTATTATGGTTTTATTTTTACTATACTTGTGTACATATCTGAACACATTAAAACAAAGTGTAATTGTGGTTTTATTTTTACTCTACTTGTGTACATATCTGAACACATTAAAACAAAGTGCTATTGTGGTTTTATTTTCACTATACTTGTGTACATATCTGAATACATTAAAACAAAGTGCTATTGTGGTTTTATTTTTACTATACTTGTGTACATATCTGAACACATTAAAACAAAGTGCTATTGTGGTTTTATTTTTACTGTACTTGT